ATATCGCTTCAACTGCCCCCCCCACGAGGGCGCTGAGACGGCCCAGGGACGCCCCCAGACGGCCCAAGGCAGCGCCGACACAGATGAAAAGGGCCGCAAGAGGCCCCCAAGAGGGCTCGAAACCGCAGGAACATGTGCTTGCACACCGATTTGCAATTGATTATTCCCGTGAGAAGACATCTCGCGACAAATGCGACGTCGACTCACTTGGCTGATCGTGCCGAAGCATGTTGCCAACCATTCTGGTAATTAGGTGCCTTCGCAGTTTGTAACCGAGGTACCAATTCAGAATTGTGGACCTGCGAGTCGTCCCATGTTCTTCTTTAGTTTATCCCTACTTGTTTCTTAGTTTGTGTGTATTCAGTTCCCGCACCAGTGCGACATCTTTCCCCGGTTGGGCGTCTTTCTTTCCATCCTTGGACGCATGGGTAATTTGCCAACATATTGAATTGGCATTTGTTGCGCACGTGTAGGCTTTGTACAGCGTGTCAAAACACATTTGCCTGCACACCGCGATACCCGTGAACATGTTGATTTCGTCGAGAAGTATCTCGCGACAAGTGCGACGTCGTCTCACGTGGTTGATCGTGCCGAAGCATGCTGCCATCCAATCAGGTGGGTGCCCTCGCAGCTGCTGGTCTTAAGCTACTGGCGTGCTGAATCCCCCCCAAAAAAAGAGGGCTCGAAACGCAGACATCTAGCTCGAACTCGACAAGATGGCCTCCAGATGGCCTAGAAGGCTTCCAACACGGCCCAAGGAGTTTCCGAGAGCACTCTTCCAAGGGCCGAAGCCCACATCATTTATTGTCCTGAAGTTTTTGATGGACTCCAATTACTCTGCCTGTTCAGCGTCTGGACGCTCCAGGACGGTCCCGGACAATTAAATATCGTGCAAACATGCCCTCACGAGGGCGTTGGGACGGCCCGGTGCCGCCCCCGGACGGCCCAAGACAGCCCCAAAACGTATGACAACGACCCCAAGAGGCTGCCAAAACAATTATAGTCGCGGAAATATCGTTCTATCAAGCCGAAGGTGGCCTCCAGATGGCCCAAAGTTCCCAACACGGCCCAAGGGGTCCCCAAGAGCATTCCCCAAAAAGGGCACCAAGAAGCCAGAGTCATTGCTTTTCCAACGGTTTCTGGCACAATTAGCGATTCTGCCAGTTCCGCTTCCCGACGCCCCAAGACGGTCAGGGATACCCACATATCGTCCTAACAGGCTCCCACGAGGGTGCCGAGACGGCCTAGGGCCGCCCCCAGACGGCCCAAGCTAGCTCAACACGCACGAAAAGGGCCGCAAGAGGCCTCCAAAAGGGCTCGATACGCGGGCAGATCGCTCGAACACGCCTCCAGATGGCCCGAAAGGCTTCCAACACGGCCCAAGTGGTCTCCAAGAGCATTCCTCCAAGGGCCCCAAGAAGTGACGTTCATGAGGTTTATGATGGATTTCAGCAATTCTGCCTGTTCAGCGCCCCGATGCTCCAAGACCGTCCCAGACACCCAAGTATCGCTTCAACTGCCCCCCAGGAGGGCGCCGAGACGGTCCAGGGACGCCCTGCCGAGGGCATGAGGCGGGGCCCGGGTCGGGGCCCCGAGACTGGGGGCCTCGGGGGCCTTGCCGCGGCGCCGAGGGCTCTTTAAAATCGTCCGGGGACGACCCCAGATCGCTAGAAATGGCGCTTCCAGACCGTGAAAACGACCAATAACGGCCCGAGATCACTCCAGAATTAGCTCCTGACTGCCTAAGAGGCCTCCAAGACACCCCAAGAGGCTTCCAAAATGCCTCCCACGGAGCCCCAGGAGGCACAAATAGTTTATTTCGCCGTTGGGTTTTGAAGGATTTTCGGGTTCTCGCCTTTTCAGATTCCCGACGCTCCACACGGCCCAAGGCCCCAATGTCCATTCCAAGACAGCCCCAGAGGCCTCGAAGACGGCCACAAGACAGCCCAAGAGGGCCCCAAGACGGCGCCAGAGGCGCCCATGTCGGCCCGAGAGGGCCCCAAGACGGCCCCAAGAGGGAGCCAAGAGGGGTAATACGAAGCACAAATCCTAGCCTTCCACCCCGAGAGGCTCTCAGGAGGCCCCGAGAAGCCTCCAACAAGGCCCCAAGAGGCAAAAACTGTTGTCTTGCCATACGTGTTTGATTGATTTTCGAGGTGTCAGCTTGGTGGCGTCCCGACGCTCCAAGACGGCCCCAAAGGCCTCCAAGACCTTTCCAAGATAGCCCAAGAGGCCTCCAACAGGGCCCCAAGACAGCCAACGAGGGCCCCAAGAGGGTGCCTGGGGCGCCCGAGAGGGCACCATGACTGCCCCAAGAGGGGCCCAAGAGGGGTAAGACGAACCGACAATCCGAGCCTTCCACCCCGAGAGGCTTTCAGGAAGCCCCAAGAGGCCCCCAGTAGGACCCAAGAGGCCCTCAAGAAGCTCCCCAGAGGGCCGAAGGGGTTCCAAGAGGCCTCCCAGGAAGGCCTGTAGATGCACAACTCATTGTGTTTTCCCATCGGTGTTTGATGGATTTTAGAGTTATCTGCCTTTTGGCATCCCGACGCTCAAAAACGGCTCAAGAGGCCCCCAAGATCGCTCCAAGATAGCCGCCTCCAAGAGGGCCCCAAGACGGTGCCTGAGGCGCCCAAGACGGCCGAGAGGGCCCCAAGACGGGCCCAGGAGAGGCCCAAAGAAGGGGAACGCGAACCCAACAGCAGAGCCTTCCGCCCTACGAGGCCCACAGGGGGCCCCAAGAGTCCCCAAGCGGGCCGACGAGGCCCCCAAAAGCCTCCCGGGAGGCACCCGGGAGGCTTCGGGATTGCATCAGTGCGGCCCCAGGTGGCCTCAATTCTGGCCTCCACGCAGCCACGACGGCCAATGCTGGCTTCATATTGCAGAACATCACCTTCGGACTGCCCGCAGGACCCCGACGATACCCCCAAGGGACCCCAAGAAGCCCCAACCGCCCCCCCAAGAAGCACCCAAGAGGTGCCTCCAACAGCCAATGGAGGAAGCACGGAAAACTCCCAGAATCCTTTCAGCTGTTCCCACGAAGACCCAAGAGGTTCCCAAGAGGCCCTCAGGAGGCACGACTATGTCACGCGCCTGTGTTTGATAGCGCTGTCCAAGATCTTCCAGCGCCCCCCCGGCCTGGGCTAGAACCTGTTGTTGCTTGTTGACTTGTCGCTTGTTGTTGCATGTGTTGAGTTGATATTGAAGAGCTGCGCTCGAACCTGGCCTTGACCGACCGACTGGACCCGCGTGGGCCGCTGCAGTCGTTTCCCCCAAAAAAGAACCTGAGCGCGCGCGAAGCGCGCGCGATGGTTCTAGTCTATATGTGTGTGTGTGTATCTCTATAGAGTTCCACAAGCAGTTCTTGCACCCAGGGGTCATTCTTTCTCTTCTGAGGAGCTGGGCCCGGGTGCGGCCCCCGCGGCCCAGTTCCCGTCCGTCGCCGCACCATTTTTCTAAATATATGGGCTGTGTGCTGGCCTGGCGTCTTTGTTTCCGTCCGTCGCCGCCGCCCCGTTGCACACCCCGTTGCATTGATTTGCATTGCTTCGCACTCGCATTGCGTTGCAATCGCATTGCTTTGTAATCGCATTGCTTTGCAGTCCTTTTTATTGTTTTGCATTGCCCTGCGTTGCTTTGCATGGCTTTGCATGGCTTTGCATGGCGTTGCATGGCGTTGCATGGCGTTGCATTGCTTTGCGCTGCTTTGCGTTGCTTTGCGTTGCTTTGCGTGGCTCTGCATTGTTCTGCATTACTTTGCATTGCTTTGCATTGCGGTGCCTTGCATTGCGTTGCGTTGCTTTGCGTTGCTTTGCATTGGTCTGCATTACTGTGCATCGCTTCGTGCCACGTAGATTGCACCACATGGATTGCTCCACCTAGATTGTACAACATTGATTGCGCTACCCCGATTGCACCGCGTATTTTGTTTGAGGTCCACGCTGGCTAACATTGTACACATAGGTGTGTACGCACATATGAATATGTGTATATACTTTGCGGGCCCCACAGCTCTCGAACCCTTCTAGAGGGGCAGTTTTTCCGTTCGGTGTATGCGTATTCATTTACATGTGTATATATGCATGCATGCATGCATGCATGCATGTATGTATGCATGCATGTATGTATGCATGTGTGTATGTATGTGTGTATGTATGTATGTATGTATGTATGTATGTATGTATGTATGTATGTATGTAAGTATGTATATATGTATGTATGTATGTATGTATGTATGTATGCATGCATGTATGTATGTATGTACGTATGCATGTATGTATGTATGTATGTATGTATGTATGTATGCATGTATGTATGTATGTATGTATGCATGTATGTATGTATGTATGTATGTATGGATGCATGTCTGCATGTATGTATGTATGTATGTATGTATGTATGTATGCATGCATGTATGTATGTATGTATGTATGTATGTATGTATGTATGTATGTATGTATGTATGTGTGTATGTACGTATGCATGTATGTATGTATGTTTGTATGTATGTATGTATGTATGTATGTATGTATGCATCTACGTCTGTCTGTCTGTCTGCCTGTCTGCCTGCCTGCCTGCCTGTCTGTCTGTCTGTATGTATGTATGTATGTATGCATGTATGTATGTATGTATGTATAAATGTTTGTGTGCATGCATGCATGTATGTATGCATGCATGCATGTATGCATGCATGTATGCATATATGTTTGTTTGTCTGTCTGTCTGCCTGTCCGTCTGTCTGTCTGTCTGTATGTATGTATGTACGTACATAGGTACGTATGTGTATATGTATACACAGTCATTCATATGTACATATGAGCGACCATGGGGCCCCACAAGTCCTGGGAGAAAAACGCGGCCACTGAGTCAACCAATCCACTGGATGTCAGGGTGTGTGCCCCGCCCGACAGGAGGTGCCCGCGCCTGGAGGCCTCGAGGATTTCCAAGAGTTCTTCTGGCGGAGGGGCAAGCACGCTTGTGGCAGGCCCTGCCGCGAAGCTGGGATGGCGGAGAACGGGACGGCCGAGGCCGCCGTCGAACAGGAGGCGGCGAACCAGAGCGACGCCGGCGCCGCCAAGGAGCGTTCCTGCTCTTCCTCCTCTTCTTCATCCTCTCACTCCTCCACCCCCACCTGCTTGCCCACTAAACTCGCACCCCGTCTCCTGCCCTGTTCGCCATTTTGGCTCAAAGGCCCGCCAGCGAGAGCGGCCGCCTGGAATTGCAGGGCAGGTGTGGGCGAGCAGGTTTAGGACGGACAGGTCAGGTCGCCAAAGTACTTCAGGTACGACATGTGCTAGACTGTCTTCCCCCCGTGGAGCGCTCCAGCTCATGGGAACAGGAAGGGCACATGGAATGATAGAGGTCGAGGAGGAGGTGAGCGTTAAACCAAACTTTCTCTGCCGCCGACTCCCAACGAACCATATTCAGAGGACCACGGGCGAGCCTTTGCCAGAAAACCCTTAGTAGCCACCCAATCTAGAAACGTGCGGGAACAGTTGTCGGTTCAGCGAGCCCAAACACATTCGCATCTCAAGGATCTCGTGGATCTCGAGAGCTTATCAGAGGGGGGTGAGACGCGAAACGGGACGCCCTGGTCACAGGAATAGCAGAGGCCCAAGTGGCAACAGTTATAAGCCAGGCATCAGAGGATCGCGCGCCCTGGGCGGCGGCCTCGCTTCCAACCGAGCTAGGCGGCGTGGGATCCACGGAAGGGTATGCCAGCAGACGGCGAGAAGGGGAAAGACAGCCTCAGCCTCGCGGCGCGTCCCCGCGCCCGAGCTGGCGCCAGCCCAGCGGACGGCGGCGCGGAACGCACGGGGAAGGCAGCTGCAACTGATCGGCCAGGAGTGGCGAGGGAGGAACTCCGAGGACGCATCACAGACACAATGCATGTCGCCATGTCTCTGTCGTTTTGTCAGTCTAGACCAACCGCGGCAAGCACCGACACGAAGCAACAAACACAAAACCATGGTTGGCTCGACAGCGATCCTTGGAAAGAGGGCTGGCGTGAGCCCCAAGAAGACGGTCACGCCACCAGTGGTGCACCACGCGACGAGTTGAAGGCCGCATGAGGAGTCCGGTGGCGCTGGGTCACGACGGCAAGTTTGACAGTTGGCAACGACGGCAAGTTTGACAGTTGGCAGGGCCAGCAGTGCGGTTCGAGGTGGGGCGCTGCCTGGGGTGGTTCGACCTCGGTTCTTGAAAGGCACGGGCGGCGTGAACGATCCGCCGAGCTGGCCCTGTTGGATCCACTGCCGTCAAGGGAAGCGAGCTTTGAAGATGTGGAACGGTGCGTCGGACGCTTCCGTTTGGCGGTGCTTCGACAGGTTTTGGCCATGTCCGACTGGAGTTTTTCAGAGAAGTTCAAGGATCTTCTTAAACGCACCTTTGCCAGAGAGTCGAAGATGGAGGCCGTGATCAGTAGGGCGGACATCATGATCGGTGGAACAGACAATGACGAACTCCGGCGCCCCGGCAGGAAGACATGTTTCGCCGCCGCCAGTGGCCCCGAATAGTGCCTCCCACTGTTTGTGCCGTGATGAAATGGGCACATCTTGTTGACTGAATGAAATGACCGCTGGGTGTCCCCGAAGCTGAAGGATTTGCTCCTCGGGGAGGTGGCCAGCCCCGCGTCGTAGGGGGTGCGTGACCTCAGGGTGTTTACCCAAGATCGGCTCGACTGCGAGAGTGTCTCATGGGCGTTGCGCCAGATGGATGCCAGCGGGTCGGGCCCCCCCCCCCAGCGTCCAAGCGCGGGCGCCGTGTATCCTTGCGGCGAGTCTTGGGGCTGTGATCCAGATCCAGCGGGCGATGCTGGCACGCGTTTTCAGCGCCGCCCCCTCCGCCCCCAGCTCCGCGGTCGGCCCAGTGCGCGTGCGTGTGTGTGTGTGTGTGGCTTTCTGCAAGTCGAGGAGGTCGACGCCTGCTGCGTCGACGACGGAAGGTCGCACTTCGAGAGCGGCGAAGAGGCCGCCGACGAGGAGGCGTCGTTTGTCGAGATCGCGGACCTCGACACTCACGAGGCCCACGTGGAAGAGGCGCACGTCATGAACATAGCGTAAATAGAAGACCTCAATGGCCAGCGCTGCCGCCTCGACGCCAGGGCCGCCGCGACTGCGCCCCAAAAGCCGCGGTCGGGGTCGTGGAGGTCGAGGCCGAGACGGGCGGGTTTTCAGAGGCAGGGGCGGTCGACAGCGCAGTGCGTGAAGGTCGCCCAGTGCAAGATGGCATTGCCCGCAGCGATGCGAGCCACTGGGCCCGGGGAGTTTCCCAGCGAGCGGCTCCGTCAGCCGTGGGAATTGTGGCCCGAACCGGAGATGGGCGCGACGTCCGAGCGAGCATGCTCGACAGCTCCGCGACGGGCGCGTGCTCTGCTGGGCCAGCTCGTCGTTTTTGTTTATTGATCAGCCGAGCGCACCTCGAGCCACCTTCCCTCCCAACCAGGCCTTGCTTGGGGCGCGTCTCTCATGGGGGGGGGGCGCCCCGCTGCCGTGCCGTCGCCAGGTGGTGCGCGTCGAGGCGGTGCGAGAGCGCCCCCCCGGCGGCCCGCTGATGTTGCGCGGCATTCGGCCGGGAGAAATGCCCTCCTTCTTCTCCTCGTCTCCTCCTCCTCCCCTCCTCCTCTTCCTCCTCCTCCTTCCCGTTTAAGCCTCGTCCGCTCAGGCAGCGGGCCCCGGCCTGAGGCGCCTCGGCTCGCGCGCGGCGGCTCGGCGCTGGACCGGGCGATCTACGCGGCCTGGGGTCCGTCGATGCTGGCGACGGTCAACGTCGAGCGCGCGGGCCGTATTTCCTCGCCTCGCGTCCTGGCGCAGTGCGCGCGCATCTCCGTCCTGGGGGACTTTGCGTCCGGCGACCTCCTCTAACGTTTGCGACGTGTTGATGGAATGGTGACCTCTGCGTCGTCGGCGAGGGGCGCCCCTGCAGGTTGCTCCGGGGGGCGGGGTATCTTCCTCGCGCGGGCCCTCGCTGGCGTCGGCAGGGTGCCGCGCCCGCCACCTATCCCCCGGCTGGGCCTGGGGGGGGGTCAGCGTCGGACCAGCTGGCGGCCCTGCCGCTGCCGACGGCAATCCGGCGGGCCACGGGCGCCGCGGCCGGGCCGCGCAGGCAGCGCAGGGCGAGGCGCGTGCTCATTGGCGCGGACAAGCGCGCCGACATCGGCTACGAGGGGGGCGCGGGGAAGGGCCGGGCCCCCGCTTCCGCGCTGGGCGAGGCCTCGCGGGGGGAAGGGCTTCCCAGAGGTCTTCAAGATCTTAAATTTAGATCTAAGTGTTATATGATGATATGTAACTGTGTTTAAGATCTCAAATATAATTTAAGATCTGTGTTTACGTGTTATTGATGATCTCATGCTTCATCATCATTTTCACATCGCCATTGTCATTTATAGTTCTGGCTCAAGAAATGTCGGAACATAGGGCGCCGTCCCAAGAACGAGTGCACGAGCAGTGCCTCACCCGAATCTCCATCACAGAAATCAGGTTTGTCAACAAAGTTTGCTTCTACAATGGCATCGCCAGAATCGTGTGCGATTGGTTTCGTCCGCCATGGGGGTTCGCGAAAATCTACTTCGCGGCGCATTGGAATTGGGCTATGCATCAGTATGTTCGTCTTGGTCCTTTCGACAGCGCCGACGAAGGACCCGACAGGGACTCCAGTGACGAGAGCCTCATGCGACGAGGACTGGGCATTGCATGGAAGCCCCCAAACGAGGAAGAGGAGTAGGAGGAGGGGGGGAAGGAGGAGGAGGAGGAGGAGGAGGAGGAAGAGGAGGAGACAGAAAAGAGAGAAGGGAAGAGAGAGGGAGGAAGAGGATGAGAAGGAGGGGAAGGATGAGGAGGTGAAGGAGAAGGAGGAGGGTGTTGTCTTGGGCGCCCCCTGCTGCCATAGCTCTTCGGGTCGAGAGCTTTCCCGCCGACATCGCCCCAGCACTCCTGTCAACCATGCGCGGTGGCGCTGGCAAGGCTAAGTGCCAGACCCCGTCCTCGGACCTCGCCGCGCAGCTCCAGCCGCTGCTGAAGAGCGCGCTTCTCCCATATCGCGAGGAGTGCTAGGGTGATGTGAAACAGAACCTAAAGATTTCCAGGGGGGGTCAGTTTTGGGCAACTTGGGGGGAAGTCGTTCTTGGGCCGTCTGCCAGGAGGTCTCCACGGGCGGTCGCGACGAGAGGGCGCTCGTCGCACACGCTGGCCTGATCAAGGCTGCTGGTAGGAGAGAGGATGTCGTCTCTTCATGTTCACCCTCCTTCTCATCTTCCTAATCTCATCCTTGCCATCCTCACTCTCTCCTTCCTCATCCTCATTCGCATTTCGCTAGAGGCTGTTGGCGCTGGTTTGCCGCAGACGATCGTGCAAGCGGCCGTGCGAGTGGTGGTCGAGGCGGAGCACGAGAGCTGGAACCTCGACGAGTCCGAATGGGACGGCTGGGCCAAGTCCAACGCGCTTCGGCTCCGCGCGATGAAGCGCGACGTGGAGCAGGCTTCGGCCTCACCCCCCACTTCGTTTCTCACCCCACCTCCTCCATAACCCTCAACGGACCTCTACGAATCTCAACGCCACCGTTGATGTCCGTTGAGGTCCGTTGAGGTCCGTTGAGGGTCATGGAGGCTACGTTTGAATTTCTGCATTTCAATGCCCCCGCCCCCCGCAGAGGCGATCATCAAAGCGAAGACCCAGGAGGGCAGCAGGCACCAGTGGCTCGTGGAGAACTTCATGGACCCGATGGACCTCGACGGCGACAAGAAAGAGTACACGTACGGTTTCGACACCGACCCGTGCCCGGTGCCTCCCTCCTCCTTCGCCGCCCTCCTCCTCCTCCTTTTCCTCCTCCTCCTCCTCCTTTTCCTCCTCCTCCTCCTCCTTCTTCCTTCTTCTCCTCCTCCTCCTCCTCCTCCTCTTACTCCTACTCCTTCTCCCACTCCTACTCCTGAGGCATCCTCCTTCGTCTCCTTCTCGTGAATCACCCTCATCCTGCTCAATCCTACTCCTTGTCGTGGTACTCCCTCTCCTCCGATCCTGCTCCACATTCCTTCGCACTCCTCCTCAAATTCTTCCCAACCTCATCGTCGTCCTCCTCCTGTTCACCAT